CAAAACCACAACGATAGTTTGTCAAATAGACTCCGTTTTAACCTTCACAAGGACCGGGCGTAGCCATACTTGGTTCAACTAAAGTTGGAGAGGCAGTCGCCCGCAAGCCATCTCTGTGCAAAGCACGTCGAGGGAACCGGTCTCGCGTAAGCGTACGCGTAAGGTTGGTCCGGGTCGTCTCGTCCAACAATACCGCCGAACCAAAGTATGACATGCTGGTAGGCAGTATGACTTGTATCGTCCACAACTTACTTGTGTTCTACTCGTGCATATAACATCAACATCAATAACCTAGGCTCGGATGCCACTGTTGGGTTTCGTAGTAATTTCAAAAATTTCCTACGCGCACACAGGATCATGTGATGCATAGCAACGAGAGGAGAGTGTTGTCTACGTACCCAACGCAGACCGACTGCGGAAGCGATGACACAACATAGAGGAAGTAGTCGTACGTCTTCACGATCCAACCGATCAAGCACCGAAACTACGGCACCTCCGAGTTCGAGCACACGTTCAGCTCGATGACGATCCCCGGACTCCGATCCAGCAAAGTGTCGGGGAAGAGTTCCGTCAGCACGACGGCGTGGTGACGATCTTGATGAACTACAGCAGCAGGGCTTCGCCTAAACTCCGCTACAGTATTATCGAGGAATATGGTGGCAGGGGGCACCGCACACGGCTAAGGAATCGATCACGTGGATCAACTTGTGTCAACTTGTGTGTTTAGAGGTGCCCCTGCCTCCGTATATAAAGGAGCCAAGGGGGGAGGGTGCGCCAGCCAAGAGGGAGAGGCGCAGGAGGAGTCCTACTCCTACCGGGAGTAGGACTCCCCCCCAATCCTATTCCAACTAGGATTCCCAAGGGGGAAAGAGGGAGAGGGGTGGCCGGCCACCTCTCCTAGTCCTAATAGGACTAGGGGAAGGGGGGAGGCGCGCAGCCCCCTTGGGCTGCCCCTTTCTCCTTTCCACTAAGGCCCATGATGGCCCATATGGCTCCCGGGGGGTTCCGGTAACCTCCCGGTAACCCGGTAAAATCCCGATTTCACCCGGAACACTTCCGATGTCCAAACATAGACTTCCAATATATCAATATTTATGTCTCGACCATTTCGAGACTCCTCGTCATGTCCGTGATCACATCCGGGACTCCGAACAACCTTCGGTACATCAAAATGCATAAACTCATAATATAACTGTCATCGTAACCTTAAGCGTGCGGACCCTACGGGTTCGAGAACAATGTAGACATGACCGAGACACGTCTCTGGTCAATAACCAATAGCGGGACCTGGATGCCCATATTGGCTCCTACATATTCTACGAAGATCTTTATCGGTCAGACCGCATAACAACATACGTTGTTCCCTTTGTCATCGGTATGTTACTTGCCCGAGATTCGATCGTCGGTATCCAATACCTAGTTCAATCTCGTTACCGGTAAGTCTCTTTACTCGTTCCGTAATACATCATCTCACAACTAACATATTAGTTGTAATGCTTGCAAGGCTTTATGTGATGTGTATTACCGAGAGGGCCCAGAGATACCTCTCCGACAATCGGAGTGACAAATCCTAATCTCGAAATACGCCAACCCAACATCGACCATTGGAGACACCTGTAGTACTCCTTTATAATCACCCAGTTACGTTGTGACGTTTGGTAGTACCCAAAGTGTTCCTCCGGTAAACGGGAGTTGCATAATCTCATAGTCATAGGAACATGTATAAGTCATGAAGAAAGCAATAGCAACACACTAAACGATCGGGTGCTAAGCTAATGGAATGGGTCATGTCAATCAGATCATTCTACTAATGATGTGACCTCGTTAATCAAATAACAACTCATTGTTCATGGTTAGGAAACATAACCATCTTTGATTAACGAGCTAGTCAAGTAGAGGCATACTAGTGACACTATGTTTGTCTATGTATTCACACATGTATTATGTTTCCGGTAAATACAATTCTAGCATGAATAATAAACATTTATCATGATTATAAGGAAATAAATAATAACTTTATTATTGCCTCTAGGGCATATTTCCTTCAAGTGCACCATATGCAAAACCTTTGAGGTGTACGCAATGAAGACACACGGTGCATGTGGGAAACATTCTACAGTCAACATGCAAGACAATCAATGATAATGTGGCCACATTATCACATGCCCTATCATATTGTCCTCGAATTAAGGGCACATGCCTAAAGATAGAAAAAGGTCTCCTTTTCTTACCTTTATTACTCATATCCGAAACTGGCACATAATATGCGTATCGACCTTTCTTCAGAACAATATCTGTAGAGAATTTATAGTGTCAAAATATATAGCAATAAGAAGTTATGATCTAAAATTAATATGAAATTGAACAAATTAAACCCTCTAAGTGAACTTGGAAAAATTGCAAAACGGTGGGCAAAGAACCATTGTGGTGACAATTTTTTTGAACATAAGGTACTTCAGACATAAGTTGTATTATTATGTAGATAACATAACATGATTAAACCATGATTAGAGAGATCTCACATCACGAAAACCAAAATGTCCATAGGCCATTTTATCAAGAAAAATATGTATAGTCGTATTGTTCTGTAAGTAATTTAGTATCTAAATTATGAAGGTTGTATACAACTATGTACATGAAAGAAAAGAAATATACAAAAACATATCTCCAAGGAAACCATTAGCCACCACACGTATGAGAAAAATACATGAATGTACAATCATTATATATTCAGTCTAAACTCATCACAAAGTTCGGACACGAAGGAAGAACAAGATCCCAAAGAGACCATGGGTATTTATTCCACGCATCGAAGTACTTCGCCGTTCAATCTTGTAGCTCAGCAACCATCCCGCCAATGATTAAATCACCCAGGTTAAGATGCAAACAACCGACATGGTTAAAGAGTGGGAAAATAAGCCTGATCCTGCACGTCTAAAACTATATAGATACATAAAACAACACCATTTTATGATCAAGTGCACAAAATCCATTAGAGTTTACAGTTTTTGAAGCTGCAGATATATCTTGCTTCAGTCATGGTTGTTTCTTGCTAGCCTATGTATCCATCCATTAGTTTGCTATCCTGTGTGAACTCTTTGGGAATTGGTGATGGAAATAATAAGCAATGCACAAATTGTTACATGTCTTGTGCGTCAATTACCAATTGACCCTTTATGTTCTTATACCCATTGCTCTTATGCCCTCTCTTCTTCCTCTTCCTAGCTTGCTTTTGGGATATCACATCGAATTTGTGCACCTATATTTTGTTTTTACGCTAAAGCAACCAAGCAAGCCAAAAAGAAAAGGAAGGAGTTCTTGAGAACAATATGAATAGGAGGCATCAGGAAATACCAAATAGAATTCTCACCTCCAACACTAGAGGTGAAAACAAAGCATTTAGACTTTTCTCCATGTTCCCAATCCCACTGCTCTCAAGCTCTCTTTTCTTCCTCTTCTTGACTAGCCTTCAAGATCTCAGATTGTCTAAGTATGTGCACACATATTTATGGGTTATACATTAATTTTTTGCTCAAGCGAAAGAGGAGAGGAAGGAGTGCTCAAGAACCATAGAAATGGAAGACATCAGGAAAGCACAAAACTAAATATTTGCACCTCCAACATGAGAAGTGAAAACAAAAAAGTTTAGCTTTCCTCCATGTTTCCATTCCTAGTGCTCTTGTGCTCTTTCTTCCTCTTCCCCACTTACTCTCGGAGCCTACAGAATCTAAAGAAAAAAAGTATCAGACAACAAGCTTGAATTGTTGGACGAAGTGTTACAACTTTGATGTATAAATAGACGTGTTGTGCACTATGTTGAGAACCACATGAGAATCAAGTAATGAAGACAGGCAATGCATCTAATATCACTATAGAGTTAATGATAATGGGGCCCATCGTCACGTATTGTACAAAGCATGTGCATGGAGATCTCTCTTGCAGCTTACTTTCTTCACAGTTAATATATCTCTTGCGAAGATGGTTGCGTTAGGAAACATCAACAAACGGAAGTATCACTTGGAGATGTCGCCCTCCAGACAGCAATTTCTTACACGACACCTCCCTCGTATGAATGTTGTTTATCACATTCACAAGAACATCAATGGCATAGCTCACAATTGTGCTCGTCGGGTTCTCAATTCAAGGATAGAACCTCTCTTCACCCATTTTTCTCAAGGCAATTCTTCCTGCCCTTCTAATGTTTTGTCTTCATAACTTTGAAGTGGAGGGATTTGTAATACACGTTGTACTTTGCTTTTGAGGTGAATGAAAATTTGGTGCTCAATGACACCTTCCTTGTGTTAAAAATAAGTGGAAGCTTGGAAGCATTCGTGAATATAGTGACCCAAAGCTCATCCTTCATGCACGCATTTTCCCCGTGTTTTTCAAAAGCAGCTCACCGAGATGCTGAAATTCAAGTACGAGCCCCCTATGAATTGTAAATCAGAAAAAGTAGGTACGGAAGAAAAATAACTTCTTTTTTACAATTAGCATATTTGTTTTAAATTTTAGCGAAGAAAAGATGTGTGATGGTACGGACAAAAAAGAAAAAAAATGGTGCTAAAAAAGCCATTTAAGAGCACACGTTTTTACCTTTCTTTGCACAGATTGCCACATGACTATTCTCGACGAAAATTTACATGCAGTCAGAACTTGCTCAAATTTATTCAATTTCACATCTTAAAATGAATTCTCGGACGAACTTAAAACGAATTTACAGTTTCACAGTACCTGTGATTTTGTTTCTTCGAGGAACAGTCCAAGAAGGAACAGAGTGCTGCTACGTTCAACACACTAGTAATCATCATCACACTCCCAACTTTTTTATCACGTCTAGAACAAAATAATGAACATACATACGGTCATCAGGATGGCTTTAGGCCTTGATCATCACAGCCAGATCTTTATCAGCCAACAAGAAAGCCAGAGAACAATTTTCGTCAAATGGCAGTAAAGTTTTGAGCTTCTAAAATGCAGAGATTGGCGATGGTGATTCGTCGTCAGGAGGCAGCCACCAGCCGGAGCGTCTCCTCCGGTTGGTTCTCGGCGCTCTTCTCGGCGAGGAGGAGGGAGTGCAGGTCGCTGCCGTTGGCGAGGCTGTTGAACTCGACCGACCTGGAGGGGTCCGTGGGGTACCTCCGCTGGCAGAAGGTCATGAGCCGCTTCACCGACTGCAGGTACTTCCGCGTCGTCTCGTCGTTCATCACGTGGGCGACGCCGTTGGCGTGGATCTTCTCCCGGGCCGACCGCTCGTGGATGCCCACCATGGTCACCCCGATCGGCCACGGCGAGTTGCCGATCGCCAGCCTGATGTAGCTGTCCGTCGCCGCCAGGTAGTCCCGCCGCGCGCAGCACCGCACCACGTCCAGCAGCGCGCGCCGGACGTCGCCGGGGAGGGCCTTCTTCCTGCACAGCCTGAAGAGCGGCTCCAGGTAGCGCGCGCACTGCTTGCAGGTGGCCACCGCCGCCTTGCCCCTGGCCGTGCGCCGCTCCGCGTCCGGCGTCTCGTCCAGCTCCTGGCCCCACTCGCTCAGCAGCCGCTTGAAGAAGGCCACGATCTTGTCCTCGTCGCAGAGCTCGTCGAACGGCGCCTCCTCCTTCTCTTTCTCGCCGTCGCCGTCGCTCCTGTCGGCCGCGCCGGCCTTGGGCTTGGACGCCACGGCCGCGGCCCTGGCGCGCGGGGCCTGGAAGTCGCGGAGGAAGTCGTTGGTCTGGCCCTCCCCGATCTCCGCGGCGTCCACGCCCGCGACCGCGGCGGGGTCCTCGAGCGCGTCGTGGAGGCGGCGGAGGCGCGCGGCGTCGTCCTCGCCGAAGAGCGTGGCCGGCTGGCGCAGCAGGCGCAGGCGCCGGATCACCTCCTCCCTCGGGAGCGACGACGACTCCCGCGAACCTTCCGCGCGGTCGTTGCACGCCTTCGCCACGTTGGCGACGGCGGCTGGAGGCAACGCGGGCATCGAGGAGGAGGAAGACGACGCGGGGGCGGCGCGGGACCGGAGCTCCTCCTCCTCCTTCTTCTTCTGGATGAGGCGCTCCCGCTCGGCGACGCGGAGGCGCTGGATCTCGCGCGCCTCGATCTCGGCGCGGCGGAGCACCTTGCGGCCGCCGAAGTCGGCGTCCAGCTGCCGGCGCTTGCGCTGCAGCTCGCGCTTCAGGACGTCCATGGCAATGGCTCGATCGATCTGGATGGTTCTCCCGGAGGCTGCGGCTGCGATGGATCGGAGCGTGGCGCCGTCGGCTTTTGAGATTTCCGGGAGCGGGGCCTGGAAGGTTCGTGATCTCGCGCTCTGGATCGGTGGTGGTGCCGGAGAAGGAATCGGAGGAGCGAGCGAACCGGCGCGAACCTTCTCGAGCCTTTGAACCTACGACGCGGAAGGCCGACGCAACTCTCGGCCCGCTACAACAAGCCCAGACAGCACAAGGCGCGAGGCCCAGCTAGCAGCAGCCCGGCGAGGCGACGCGAAGCCCAGGGGGCTAGCGACAGAAGTGCTATAGCGAAAATACATAACATGGTTGAAAAAGTTCCATTGGCGCCAATGTGGATGAATAGCAAGATCAAAAAAGAAGACTTAAATTTTGGGTATTAAATCTGGTCGATCGTTCTACTCATATGTGAAGTTTCGTGAAAGAATGACGCACACAGTATTATTTAGGCCGATTTTAATCATTAAATAAAAATAAACTACATTAGGTCCGAAAAATTGAACCATACACGGATAAAAGACATGTCTAATACAACAAAATAATGCATCAGATCTATTTGAACTCGTTGACAGTAGCTACATGTTTTACATTTTTTACTTTTCAACAAGGCTCAAAGGAAAAGGCCACGACAAACTAAGCTTGTACAAACTTAACTAACCTCACACCATATGAGACGTGTGAGCTTTATTGCGTATGATATCGCCTCCATCGTCGAGACAATGCCACCATGAACGCAAAAAACTATTATCAAGAAAAAGTTTAGGATACCATCCAACATTAATACATGGTTTCCCTCTTCCCGTGCCAAAGTGGCCATCAGATAGACGAGAAACCGGCGGGAACACAAACGAAAATACGTTGCTAATGTCTCTCTCATGGCTAGGGGCTCTGTCTCACAATATTCCCTCTAGATACAACTCATCAAAATTTCCCATTTCAACTTAGTTGATATGGAAGTTGCATGCCTCCTCGTAGTTTTTAATTTTTTCAAGCAAATGCCCTCTCGTAGTTGATTGCACACAAAAATGCCCTATAGACACATGGGCTTCCTCTTCTTCCTTCTCCTCTCTCCCTCACTAAGCTTATGATTTTCTACCCCTATGTGCTAATCCCTCGAATAACATCCATTGATTCCTTAAAATTCACTATGAGCCCCATTGCCCCTATCTCGCTCCATAAGTTCGAGCAGACAACTCGAACAGTGCTTGGATGGGACGAAGAAAGAAAATGGCCAGCGTTAATGCGGAGCGACCACACTAGAGAGGCATGAATGCGGGGCAACCGCATCGGGCGTGAAAGGGCATGCGCAAAGGAGAGGGTTCATGCAAAGCCCCCTCCCCCAGTTTGCTTCCGGTTTGCGGGAGAAAGAACGTCTGGACTGGCCAGTGGACAAATACAGGACTGCAATGGATTTGAAAACACATTCGGACCGCACGGATCGGACGGCTGCGGGCGGTTTGAGGGTCCGTGTTCGAGATGCCCTAAGCATCTATGATAGTACCGTGTTTAAAAGAAAACATTTAGATCCAACCGACCGGCCAAAACTTTGACCCATAGCCGGTTCGTTCTCATCTCCTCCTTCTCCTTCCACCTCCATGTGCTCCCCGTCGTTTCCCCGCTACCACGCGATCCCTCCCTTCTGTTGTTCTATTCCCACTGCTCAGGGCGTCGGCAACGACTACATCTGTTACGAGCGATGGAACCGAGGGTGGCCGAGCTGCAACCGTATGCTGGCGAGCTACAACCGGCTGGGGCATGCTGCAACCAGCAACCGAGTTGTTACTACCTCGACTGGCAAGTGCGGCGGCAGAGCACACGGATGCTTCGACCGTTGGGGAGGGAGCTGCAAGCGTGTACTGGTTCTGGTGGAACATGTGACCGCGATGAGCTGCGGGGCCATCACGGCAAGTTGGACTGGAAGGGTGGGGGTGCTGCAAGCACGGACCTGGTTTGCCGAGACCGACAAGGCATTTTGCTGGAACCAGTACCAATGCTCTGCCCGAAGTTCGTTGTTGCTGGACGAGCGAATTTTTGCCACAACCATATCCTTTTTTTGCCGACGAGCATTAGCGGCGAGAGTTGATAGCGAGAACGGTGGCGACTGTCGACGGCAAGGGCAAACTGGGGAGGGGTGGACGCGGCAGCAGGGGCAGCCGCCATGAACCCGCAGCGTGTTTTTCTCAGATCTGATGCGCTGGCAGGGTGAGAAGCGATGGGAAGGGCGCATCCGCCGGCCGGCCGACTTGCGCCTAGTACCGGCCTAAAAAAAATACAAAGCGGTACGGAAAGCAGCTCTGCGCCAAGACCTGTGAACCAACCTGTGGTTGGATGGTCAGGTGAACAGTGGCGTCCCAGTCCACCAGGGTTCCCGTCGATGCGTGTTCAATGCAAGGAGACGTTCCCGTCGTCTTCGTCAGTCTCAAAATGACACGCCGACTTAATCTTTCGACGGTGCTCATAAAGGTAGCGTGTGTGTGCATGTTCTTAAAAGAAAGTGCTCTGCGCCAAGAGCGACCGACCGCCGTCCCGGACACGGATCACGGGGACGCGTCCACCTATTAAAACGTCCACCGCGCGGACGCGAGGAACACGAGCCGCTTCACGGAACCCAACCGAGTGGACCGGAATCGGACGCCAACTCACGCACTGACGCACATGTATGCGTGTGTGCGCACCCAAGTTCCCTGTCATCCCCTCCCCACCTGCTCGCCCTCCATCTATTTAAACTCCCCGATCCTCCCCCCACCTTCCCTCGCTCGCTCCTCTCTCGCCCTGCACTTCGGCATCCTGACTCCTCTGCTCCCCTGCTCCACCGCCGATCGCCTCCTGCTCCTCGCGGCTAGCTCTCCGGCCATGGCCTTCCAGTCCCCCGTCGGCTCCCCCTTCGACTGCCTCCTCATAGGTACGTAACTAAACATGTGCAATTCGCTTGAGCCGACGATCAAATCACCGTCATCTGACAAATTCCTCTGCTCCGTGCGTGGACCGAGCAGACCTCGACGACACGCTGTACCCGGGCAACACCGGCATTGGGCCAGCGCTGAGGCGCAACATCGACGAGTTCCTCGTCGCCAGGTTCGGCCTCGCCGCCGACAAGGCCGCCGCGCTCCGCGCCGACCTCTTCCGCTCCCACGGCAGCACCCTCGCCGGCCTCGTCGTACGTTTTGTTTTTTCAAACTCAGACTCGAACGCACACTCCAACTTCGCCTTTTCTTTCTCTTTTCTGGTTTTCTTACGTGTCTGCGTCTTCCGCTCTTTGTCAACTTGCGCAGGCGCTCGGCCACGACGTGCACCCGGACGAGTACCACAGGTCGGTCACCACGCTGCACGCAACACCCACCGTCCCTAACTTGTCAAACTAATCGTTCGTTCAACGCCTCTAAACACGCCGAGACTAATTGCTTTGCAGCTACGTGCACGGGAGGCTGCCCTACGACGTGATCACCACGGACCCGCAGCTCGCGGCGGCGCTCCAGAGCATGCCCCAGCGCAAGATCGTAAGCACATTACTATTTCCCTCTCTCTCTCGAGCATCAACGGATGATCCTCTGACTGAACAAGTAAAATTGATTTGTGTTGGGCGCGTGCGTGCGTGCAGCTGTTCACCAACTCGGACCGCGCGCACATGAAGCGGGCGCTGGAGCGGCTGGGCGTGGACGAGGCCTGCTTCGACGGCGTCGTGTGCTTCGAGACCATGAACCCGCACCTCTTCGGGGAGGAGCTGGAGGGCGAGGACGACGAGGCCGCCGCCGCCGACGTCGACCGCCCCGCCGTCGTCCTGAAACCGTCCGTCCACGCCTTCGTCGCCGCCCTGCGCGTCGCCGGCACAAACCCAGGCCGAACGGTAACCATCTACTGATTTCTTAAGAATGTACTGCAATAGAGATCGACGTGCACAGCATCTGCTTATAATAATGTAACATGAACTGAACCCGATGGACGGAAAGTGACACCGGGGGTAACACAAGCCACCAGCTTAAAAAAACCATTAACAGCTAATACAATCAGAGAGCCCTTATCAGCACTTGCTTTCGATGAAAGCAAAGCTTATGTGTTAGTAGTATATTATAGCACTTGTCATCTTGGCGTTCTCCGTTTGTGTTCTTGCCTGATTCATCACAAAACTAATACGTGGATCTCTGTCAGCTCTTCCTCGACGACAGCGAGAGGAACATCGCCGCCGGGAAAGCGCTCGGCCTCCGCACGGCCCTGGTAAACTATCCTACATCCAAACATCATCTCAACCGACCTCATTTCATATTTTGTTTGTTCATCAATCTTGAACAGTTTATTAGACTTGCGTGTGAACGGCCCGTGCTCAAGCTAACCGACGCTGAAAGCTTGGTGGCGCCGAGTCAGTTCTCAGTGTCGTCGCTGTCCGTCGTTGTTGGGCGGGTAATTAGGTCGACCGATCAGATCAGTGAGTCGATCAGGTGGCCGGTGCGCGCTGATTAGATTAGACAGATGGAGAGCTTGCCTTCCAATTAGGCCATCTGGGTTTACATTATTGGGTGGCATTATGAGGAGCGATTAGCCTGATTTCGCACATGCGATGTTCGTGGCTGGCATTGGCATTGCCAACACGAATGTGGTGGAGGAAACGGGACAACAAGATGAAGAAAAGATGTCCCAACCGAATGTACCATCTTCTATTCCGGCCCGTCGCATCAGTCAGATAGTGTTCCCATTGTCGCCGTTCGACAACGTGTCGGTCCAGCCAGCATTCAGTACAAATGAAATCATAAATCAGCATGTCTGATCGAAAAGTGTCTAATTTGGCGAACAACGTGCAGGTTGGCAAGAGGGCGAGGAGCAAGGAGGCGGACTACGCGCTGGAGAGCATCGGCGGCCTCCGGCGAGCCATCCCGGAGATCTGGGGCGGCGACGGCGAGCTCCAGCCCGACCACAACGTGGAGAAGAACAAGAGCATGAGGGCCGACCTGGACGCCGTCATCCAGCC